CCAGAGGCGCAGGGAATCCGTTGGTGGCGCGCGGCTCAGTTCGCTGTCAGGGGTCCGGGGGCCAATCTGGTGAGGGGGCGGGGCCGGGCCCCCGGGGACCAATCCGGGGAGGGGGCGGGGCCGGTACCCCGGGAAACTCACCACCGTAGGAGGCCGGGAATGGAACTTGGTTCAAAGAAGGAACTGGACAGTCTCGTGGCAGACAGCTCCCCCGGGGCTATGAAGCATTGCAATCAGAGATACCAGTTCAGGCTTGGGACATCTTTAAACCGAAGTGGGAGGATAGGTAGGTACATGGCCAGCTCTCAAGCGGCTGCCTGCAGTAAGCACGAGTACAGCACGTGGCCACCAGGTGGCAGGGAAGCCAGACTGCATTGAACTGCTCCACCAAGATGAAATGGTCTGTGGGAGTGGGTATGTGACCAGTACATCAGTATCATTTACACCCCATTATAATGAGTCACTTGCATGGGTAAGGCGGTATGCCCAGTGTCCACTTCACTTTTACACCAGTATGAAACTGGAGATAGGCCTGTTGAAAGTCTCTAGGTTCGGGTCATTAGGGAGAGCAACAAGGGTGATGTCATGGTGGGGGGTCTGCTATAAACCATCAAATGGGGAGGATGAGGTGGATGAGGTTTTCTTCAAACAGCTGGCAGAAGTTTCCCAATCATAGGCCCTGGTTGTCAGGTGGGGGACTTCAAAATCACCCTGTCATCTGGCAAGGCAGTACTGCAGTGGACAGGCAGCCTAGGAAATTTTTGGAGAGAGATGGGGACAACATCCAGGTGCAAGTGTTGGGGAGGCCAACTAGAGGCTGTGCTCTTCTTGACCTGCTGCTCACAAACAGGGAAGAATTGGTGGGGAATGTAGTAGCAGGGCTTAGCCCCCCAAACTTTTCACAATGGCCGGCAACAGCAGCAGCACCACAGTGCTGCCGCCGCACAGTGTCCAGTGCCACTCAGCATGCAGCCACACCTCCACTGCCGCAAACAGCACAAGTCCGTGCTGGCCCTGCTACAGCCCTGTGAGAGG